TGAATCACTTCGTAGCCACCACAAGATTAGAATGGAGATATTGTACAAGCCTGACCCTTTGCAGTTAAGTTTTTTGCCCTTCTAAATGAGCTGCTCTTGCTACTCTCTGAGTCACTGCAATGCAGATCTCATAATTTCATCTCCTTCTCTTCTAATCATTTTACCAGATAGCCATTTTAAGGGCAGGGCAGGCATGCAGATTTTTTAAAAGGGGCCATTACGTGCCCTGAAATGCATATAATTAAGAAGTGCTAATGAAATCTCGACAGTGTCACCAGGTAAAGGAGAATAAAGCTTTTAGGAACCTGCTTAGTAGTGACAAATACTTCAAAAGGCCACATTTCTATTTGCCAAAGCAAAGCAGAGTTAACAATGGAATCGTGAGACAGTCCTAACGAAGGTGACCCTGGGCTCCAAGAAGCCCCCTTCTCAGACACGGGCTTCCCTGTTTCTCACCCAGTGGAGAAGCCAGCAGAAATCTGCTGTGCAGTCGTGTCACTTATGAACATCCAGAGACGACAGCGTTGACAACCGCAGGCCGTGGCACTGCGTGATTCTGTTGGACACATCGCAGATGAAAACCACCAGCAGCTGTCCAAAGCTGGTTTTCTCTTATTAAAGTTTAGTTAATAAAGCCTGTACTGTGAAACAAACCAGATGAAAACCCAGCCTTCATCCAGAAAGGCTTATTGTAGGCTGGGAGAGATGTTGTTTTGTCCAAATCAGTAGGTTTCTATCAATTTGAACACCTCTGCATGGACTTAGGTGCTCTGGGAGAACCCAGAGGGAGTTGGAAGCCTGCTAGGGCCATGTGGGGGCATTCCCTTTTCTGTCTTTGCTGGGGAGGGTAGGGCAGGAGACTGACATGCAGGAAACCGAGGGAAACCTATGTGTGTGAGGGCATGGAATCCTGCACAACCGTGTGGGCCAAGTGCAAGTGGATTCAAAAGGACACAAAGATTGGTATGAGATGATTAGTGCCTTCGAAACACGAGCCCCAGGTGGCTCATTTTGGTATCCTCAACATTGTGAACTTGTCACACAAGGTAGGGATTTTAACAAGTAAATTTCAAATAAAGGTGAAGTCTACACTTTCATTCACCCATAATTTCATCCTACCCCATTTTATACTTACTGCCTTTGCCCTTGTGCTTAAAATATACACCAAAATAAAAGCACCTCAAAACCCCAATGAGTTTCTAAACAGTCACACACTGACACGCACACACACGTGCTCAGAGTCTCTCATTGATTCTTGTTCTCTCTAAATCTCACGCTCACTTTATCTCTCCTCCATCTCCAGTACTGTAGCAAAGAGTTGAAGAAAAAGTAGAATAGTACTTCTTTTTCAGTTTTTCTAAATTTTCACCAACCAGTTCACAAAAGCATAAAGAAGAAGAATTAGAAAACTGGAGGGATGGCCTGGTGCAGTGGCATACACCTGTAATTCTAACACTTTGGGAAGTCAAGGCAGGAGGATCACTTGAGCCCAGGAGTTCGAGACCAGCCTAAGCAACATAGACCCAATCTCTACTAAAAAAAAATAGCTGAGTATGGTGGTGGATGCCTGTAGTCCCAGCTACTCAGGAGGCTGAGGTGGGAGGATTGTTTGAATCTGGGAGGTCACAGCTTCAGTGAGCTATGATTGCACCACTGCACTCTATGCTGGTGACAGAGTGAGACCTGTCTAAAAAAAAAAAAAAAAAAAAAAGTGGAGGCGGGAGACAATAGCAAGATGATGAGGGGGGAAGAGAAGAGAAAGAATGGACGAGAAAGAAAATCAGACAAGTCAAGCTTCCCATTGTGGGTAGGGAGTGAATTGGGAATGACGATGCTTTTCCCCTATTGGGGTTAAGGAATATGGCTGCCAGATTGTACAGCAGAGTGGGAGTCCTGCAAAGATAAACTGCTTTGGATGCATTGATTGTAGAGAAGCAGCAAAAAGGAGTGGAACAATCTACATTCTGTCATAAATTCTGGCTATGCATTTTTCTTGAAGGGTTTAGCTTCTTATGGATGTGACTTGTGTTTTCGTATGAGTCCTTTTCATTAAGCTGACTCTAGCATAAAGTTAAATGACAAATGCTTTGTTGGGAAAATGTTGGACCACTTGGTGGATGCAGATGCCTTCCTGGCAGTTGTGAAGGTTAATTTTATATGTCAACTTGGCTGGGTCATGGGGTGCCCTGATATTTGGTCAAACATTATTCTGGATGTTTCTGTGAAGGTATTTTTGGACAAGATTTGCACTTAAATCAGTGGACTTCAAGTAAAGCAGATGGCCCTCTATAATGTGGGTGGGCCTCATCTAATCCACTGAAAGCCTAAATAGAGCAAAAGGCTGACCTCAGAGCAAGAGAGAGCTCCCCTGCAGACTGCCTGTAGACTTCATCTACAACATCGGCTCTTCCTGCTTGTTCAGCAGACTGCCTTGGACTTGAACTGCAACTCTTTCCTGAGAGGCCTCTTCTGTCAGATTTTGGACTTGCCAGCCTCCACAATTTCTTAAAATCAATCAATCAATCTATCCATCTATCCATCCATCCATCCATCCATCCATCCATCCATCCATCTACCTACCTATCTAACCTGTCCATATACCTGTACACACTTTATTGATTCTGTTTCTCTGTAGAACCCTAACTAATCCAGCATCCCATAAGCTGACAAGCAAGGCTGAGATGTAACAAATGTACTCATGCCTTTCCTAACCAGCACCATAACTGAGGCATGTGGACTCAGAGGCCATGAGTCCAGGATCGTAAGTCCGTAGGCCTGAGCTATGTGTGAGCCTTGTCCCTTCCAAGTTCTCTGCTCTGGATAGATTACCTAAGCTCCAGAAACAATTACACAGATTTTCTATCGCCATTGTAATAAATTACCATACAGTCCATGCTTGGAACAAGGTAAATGTATTCTCTTACATCTCTGCAGATCAAATCAGAGTGTCAGCAGAGCATCTGAAGGCTTCAGGGAAGAATCCGTTTCTTGCTTTTTTCAGCTTCTGGAGACCACTTACATTCTTTGGGTCATGGCCACTTCCTCGCCTCACTCCAGCCTCCTGCTTCTACTGCTGCGTCTCCTGCTACTCCATTTATCTCCTGCCTCCCTCTTATAAGGCCCTTGTGATTGCAGTGGGCTCACCCAAATCACCCAGGACCATCTCCTTATAGCAGTGTCCTTAATCATATCTGCAAAGTCTCTTTGGACATTTAATACAACATTTACATATTCCGGGGATTAGGATGTGGGCACGACTGGTAGTGGACAAGGGGAATTATTCTATCTCCACACCTGGTCAGATGGAAGGTGAGATAGGGGAAGGATTCTAAGATTTCAGAGTTGGTACTTAAAACTACCTTATCTTTTAGAAAAGCACTCGATTATGTGACAAATGCAGAAAGTTGCAACAAAGAAATCCTTTCTTGGTGCCTGAAGAGATAAACGTGTTGGTACTGTATTTTTATTCAACAATGGCAATTCTGCTCCTAGAAGCATCAGAATTAAGCTTCTCCCATCTCTAAAAAATTAACGTTAAAATGGCTTAAAAAGCATAATACTGTGGTTAGCTAGGTATACAAATCTGTGGGGTTTTATGTCCTGACAGATTCATCTAGTGTAAGGGGCTTTTGGCAGGAAGTAAAGCCTTTTAAGAGAGACCCTGAGAACCTTCCTCAAAACATTAACTCAAGTATCATAAATCTACTTCATCATTTGTATTCTTGAACATGTCATCCCAATGTAAGTTCTAGAATTGTTGTGCCTTCAACATGCTGAGTACAGTTTTTGACAATCAGTCATTTTTAATGCTTCCCTCTTGGCCAAATGGATACCTTTAGGGAAGATTCTGGCCTTTCTTTTTGGTGTATGGCTGTATGTTGAGTGCTCAGGACACTGCCATAACCTTTGTTTGGTCTGTTCTTAGCGGAGAAAATGAGATTTAACTCTGTAGAAAAGGGAGAACATTGAAAAAACTCAGTTTTCAAAAATCATCAACTTAGTTCAACAATTGTTGGGATGGCTATAACAACTTCAGGCCGGGCGCGGTGGCTCATACCTGCAATCCCAGCATTTTGGAAAGGTGGAGGCGGGCGGATCACTTGAGGTCAGGAGTTTGAGACCAGCCTGGCCAACATGGTAAAACTCCATCTCTACCAAAATTACAAGAATTAGGCCAGGCCCGGTGACTTAAGCCTGTAATCCCAGCACTTTGAGAGGGTGAGGTGGGTGGATTACCTGAGGTCAGGAGTTTGAGAGCAGCCTGGCCAACATGGTGAAACCCTGTCTCTACTAAAAAGACAAAAATTAACCGGGTATGGTGGCACACGCCTGTAGTCACAGTTACTAGGGAGTCTGAGTCAGGAGAATTGCTTGAACCCAGGAGGTGGAGGTTGCAGTGAGCCGAGATCATACCACTGCACTCCGGCCTGGGTGACAGAGCTAGATTCCCTCTCAAATAAATAAATAAATAAAATAACAAAAATTAGCTAGGCGTGGTGGCACACTCCTGTAATCCCAGCTAATCCAGAGGCTGAGGCAGAAGGATCATTTGAGCCTGGGAGGCGGAAGTTGCAGTGAGCCAAGATTGAGCCACTGCACTCCAACCTGGGTGATGGGGTGAGACTCCATCTCAAAAAAAAAAAAAAAAAAGAGAACATTTCTTTTTTTTTTTTTTAATATATATTTTATTGCATTTTAGGTTTTGGGGTACATGTGAAGAACATGCAAGATTGTTGCATAGGTACACACATGGCAATGTGGGTTGCTGCCTTCCTCCTCATCACCTATATCTGGCATTTCTCCCCATGTTATCCCTCCCCAACTCCCCACCCCCTACTGTCCCTCCCCTAGTTCCCCCCGACAGACCCCAGTGTGTGATGCTCCTCTCCCTATGTCCATGTGTTCTCATTGTTCAACACCTGCCTGTGAATGAGAACATGTGGTGTTTGATTTTCTGTTTTGTGTTCATCTGTGTCCCTACAAAGGACACAAACTCGTTTCTTATGACTGCATAGTATTCCATGGTGTATATGTGCAAGTAGTCAGTGAAGATTCATGATTGGAGCCTGATCTGATGGTTAGGACTTACCTAGTCTTCGGTACCCCAGGTTGCTTGCTCTTTTCTGGCGATGCACTCACTTGCAGAGTTCACCTGCCTTCAGGCTCAAGGACTTCAAATAAATACTGGAGAATCAGTCTAGAGTTCAAGGGTGATTTATTCTCCCCATTCCAAGGACATTTTACTACATATAATTATGCCTCCCTTCTTCTCCTTCTTGTTTTTAACTCTAAAGTTCTCTTCATTGTCTATTTGAAATTGATTTTGGTTCAGTCAATCTAGTTCCCCTTGTTGAAACATCCCAGGCATTTCAAGCCTTTCAGAGATCTTTGTTTCTGTTCACTGTCCTTTTTTGCTTCCTCCTTTTCTTTTTAAAGCTTGACTTTATTGATGGAAGTAGGATATTTTCTTGTTTTTCAGCATCATGTGAATTGCCATCATGGTAAAAGAGGCCAAACATGCCACAGCTCCTGTCACTGTGTAGGCAAGACCTAAGAAAAGGCTATTTCCCCCACTCCATGTCAGGGTGGAAAGAACAACTGATTTTTCTCCCTGGAACCTGGTTACTGGAAAATCTAAGAAGACCTGTTAAGGCTCTGTCTCAACACTTCACATTTTTAGTATTGCATGTACTGAATATTAGGTTGACATGTAGAAAATTGCTCTTTTTTTACAGGTAAAAAATGGTTAATCACTCCTGTAATCCCAGCACTTTGGGAGGCCGAGCGGACGGATCACGAGGTCAAGAGATCGAGACCATGGTGAAACCCTGTCTCTACTAAAAAATACAAAAATTAGTGGGGTGTGGTGGTGCGTGCCTGTGGTCCCAGCTACGTGGGAGGCTGAGGCAGGAGAATTGCTTGAACCCGGGAAGTGGAGGTTGCAGTGGGCCGAGATTGTGCCATTGCACTCCAGCCTGGCGCCTGTCTCAAAAAAAAAAAAGGTTAAATATTTACTCTCATATTGTGCAACTTAATCTTTACCAAGCGGTACTCTGTATCTTGCCGGAATGAGAATAAAAACAAGCCTTCCCTCCACATAGTTGTAAGCTATGAAAGAGATTCTGACACAGATCTAAATGACTTACAGACAACTGAAATAATGAGCAAATATATTTAATTTCCTTTGTCAAACCCAAGGAAATTAAAAGAATACAAACCTAAATTTTTATATATGTATCAGGAGACTCAGGGCAGGCTATAGTCCTTTATTTAATAGGCTAAGGTTTGCATTCCTACCTCAGGGAAAATTCTGCAAGGAAAGTGAAGAGCAAACAAACAAACAGAAGGGTCGCAAAACATTTTTGGTGGTCGAACTAAAGGTGGTACATTCATTTGGGTTTTGGAAAGGCCAGTATCCCCCACTGCTGGGGAGCAAGTGTTTGAAGTGGGTTTGCTATCGTTAGCATTTGGATGATGTCATTTTGATTATATATGTGGCCTGAGGTTTTTAAACATCTGGTGCCTTTTGTAAACCAAGCTAATAAACAAAGAAAGGCTTCTCATAGCAACGGCACAGGACGGAGGCATTTCCCAGCAAAGCTATTAAAGGGCCTCAAGTCATTTGGCAACGTGCTATTTAAAGGCACAAGGGAAATTGTTAGGAAACTAGTTCTCTCTTTTCTTTTCCATCAGAATTCCTCATTGTCACCAGGTCCTTGGGTGCCACCTCCACCCATCTGCCTGTTTTCTCCCTCCCTCAGTTTTGTATGAGAGGGTCTTCTCATACAGAGAACATCTTTCTTTGCCTTAAGTGGTAGGCACTTTCTTAGTCTGATGGGATAACTACTCACGCCAGAGCTCTACCCAGCTAGTGCAGGTATAGGCCTGAAGCTTAGGGCTGAAGTTCTATGTACACAGAAGGTTTTGATTTGAGAGAGATTAGCATTAAGACATGACTGTGAAGGAAGTCACCAGGAAGAGCATGTCCAGATTGGAGAAACAGAATGCCTCTCTTATTGGGAACATGACACCCTTCCTCATCCTCCGAACCCCAAAGTCATTGTAGCGTGTTGCGGGATAGCAGTGCATGAAGTTTTTTTCCCTGCTCCTTGAATACACCCATAACTGCTTTAATGGCAAGGCAGTCCCCAAATTGACAGAATCAGAAGACCCAACTTGAGAGACCAGTTTGTGTGTGTGTGTGTGTGTGTGTGTGTGTGTGTGTGTGTTTTGAGACAGAGTCTCATTCTGTTGCCAGGCTGGATTGCAGTGGCGCGATCTTGGCTCACTGCAACCTCTGCCTCCTGGGTTCATGCAATTCTGCCTGAGTAGCTGGGACTACAGGCACATGCCACCATGCCCAGCTAACTTTTATATTTTTAGTAGGACGGGGTTTCACTATGTTGGCTAGGATGGTCTTGATCTGACCTCATGATCCGCCCATCTTGGCCTCTCAAAGTGCTGGGATTACAGGTGTGAGCCACTGCACCCAGCCTGAGAGACCAGTTTTAAGTAACTTTCAATCTCTGCTTAAATTTTTTTAAGGGAGGGAGGAGTTTGCTAAAATTCTTATTAAAGGGGTTTACTCTTTGATCTATACCTATAATGCTCCACAAGAGAGGCACTTTGTGGCTTTCATTTTCATTTTCATAGGATTAGACACCCTGCTAACTGAAGGCATACCTCCTCCTGGCCAGTAAACCAAAGGAGATAAAAAGCTGAGAGGCAGAGATGGCGGCTCCTCAGTGGGGGCCTTTCTGACTGAGAAATGCGCCCACTTCCCTGTCAGAATGGAGATGCCCACACACCTCTTCTAGGTTGAAAAGGAAGAAAAGATGGAGCAGGGAACTGGAGCACATGTGGTCATTCCCTTCTCCACTAGAATTTCTTACTCAGCCTCCCTGAAAGGTGAAGGAACTAAGGAGGTGGAAGATTCTGTGAACAACTCCTACCTGGGAGCCTTGGGAGGATCAGCACAGCAGTGCTGGTGCTTGACCCTAATCGGGCTGCAATTTCAAAGTTCTGTAAAAGCCCTGGAAAGATTCTGCCTCCAGAGAATTCTACCTCAGGGAGAGTCAGGAGGAGACTTTAAAATTAAATCTAGGCCGGGCGTGGTGGCTCACGCCTGTAATCCCAGCACTTTGGGAGGCCAAGGCAGGTGGATCACAAGGTCGAGAGATTGAGACCATCCTGGCCAACATGGTGAATCCCTGTCTCTACAAAAAAATACAAAAATTAGTTGGGCGTGGTGGCGTGTGCCTGTAATCCCAGCTACTACGGAGGCTGAGGCAGGAGAATTGCTTGAACCCAGGAGGCGGAGGTTGCAGTGAGCTGAGATCGTGCCACTGCACTCCAGCCTGGTGCCTGGCAACAGAGCCAGACTCTGCCTCAAAAAAAAAAAAAAGAAAAAAAATTAAATCTAAAGACCAGAGTTAGTGTAAATTGTGTTTAAATATATAATTTCTTAAAGATAGTGTTTGGTGCCATGCTAAAGTTAAGTCCTTTTTGTTTTCAAATAAGAGTTACATTTAAATTTTTAAATTAAGTGAAAAAATTCAGACTCTCATATTAAAGCATGTATCAACCTGGGCAACAAGGGAGACCCATCTTTAAAAAAAAAAAAAAGCAATTAGCTGGGCATGGTGGTGAGTGCCTGTAGTCCAAGCTACTTGAGAGACTGAGGTGGGAAGATCACTTGAATCCAAGAGGTCAAGACTGCAATGAGATGTGACTGTCCCACTGTACTCCAGCCTGGGCAACAGAGCAAGACCCTGTCTCAAAAGTAAATATGTAAATAAAAATAAAAAAAGCATGTGTCTCCTAAGTTGGACCACGTATCCCTAATCAGGACACGAACTCCCACCTGCTGGCTTTGTTCTCCAGGGAGGGAGAAACGGCATCTTCAGTGCAGAGCTTGTCACACACCTCACATGGATTTGGATCAACTGGATCTGTCCCCTGAGTCCAGAGCTTCTGTGGTCTATGATACTTTTCCCTAGAATAAAATGTTCTGTAGTCTCAGTTTTAGTAATTTTCAGTCTATATTTAATGATCAAACTCCTCTCTTTTTTTTCATAGTCCTCCATCTCCTCCCATTCTATCTGGCATGCTTCTCACAGTCTTTTAACAGATCTCGAGGCCCAGTGTTTCTTAACCTTTCTTAGGGAACAGAAATAGTCCTTTCCAGAAATACCCAGACCTTCTTACCTGACACTGCCATTCACAGTTATTCCTAAACAAATTTAAAACTGCATTTTGGTATGTAATATAGAGACAAACAGCCATATTTGGATGGAATGACCATTGAGGGGTTCAGGACATGCCACCTCCAAATAGGCCACTTCAGCATACTGATTATTTTGAGCTAAAGGCACTTGAAAAACAGCAAGTGCAAGAAGGGCACTCTGACTGCCCCTTTTCTTTTTTTTTCTTTTTTTGAGGGGGGAAGGGCTCACTTTATCACCCAGGCTGGAGGCTAGTGGTGCTGTCAGATCTCATGCAGCCTCAACAGATGCACCTGCCTCAGCCTCCCAAGTAGCTGGGACAACAGGTACACACCACCACGCCTAGCCAACTTTTTGCACTTTTTGTAGAGACGGGGTTTCATCATGTTGCCCAGGCTGGTGACTTCCCCTTTTCTTCCTGAAAGCAGGAGATAAAACTCTCATGTGAAAGATGCCCTCTCTATACCAGGAGAAAATAAACTTTTTGAGACAGGGTCTGGCTCTGTTGCCTAAGTTGGAGTGCAGTGGTGCAATCCCTGCAGCCTCAACCTCCAAGACTCTAGTGATCCTCCCACCTCAGCCTCCCAAGTAGCTGGGACCACAGGTGTGCACCACCACACCCAGCGAATTTTACAAAATTGTTTTTTAAAGACAGGGGTCTCACTATGTTGCCCAGGCTGGTCTTGAACTCCTGGGCTCAAGCAATCCTCCCACTTTGACCTCTCAAAATGTTGGGTTTACAGGCACGAGCCACTGTGCGTAGCTGAAAAGAAACATGCTTATCACCAGAGACAGAGGATCAAGATTGAGACAAATCTATAAAAAAAAAAAAAACCTTGCTAAACTAACCTTTATCTTCTCAGTTACATTTCTACAATTTGCCATTCTTTGTTCAACCTAGTATAAGCACTTAGACTTTAGTTACTTCTTTGGTTCTCCATTTTTCTTATAAGGGCTCACATGTAAATGTAAAAGCATAAAATTCATATGCTTTTCTGTTGCTAATCTGTCAGTCCCATGGAGAAGGACTAGGAGAATTTTATCATCCCTCATGGAATTTTTTTTTTTTTTGTATACAGATTTGACTGGAAAATAGAAAAGCATAGAATGAGATAACTCAAAAACCAACAGCCAGGTTTTCTAACTCTAGAATGAAACGGATAAAAGGATATTATAGGTTATGTTGAAACTATAATTACCAGCAGGCAAGCCTTCTATAAAATGGTGTGTTTGGTTGAGTCGACCATACAGTTTTTTGAAAGTGGGAAAGGCAGCTGGCCGCATCCACACGATGAAGTCTTCATTGAGGAAGCCATTGTTTCTTGGATCCTTTTTATCCAACTCATAGATAGGGCTGGGCCAGTTTGGGGGCTTTGTGGTTCCTGTGGGAAGAAAATAAGGGATATGATGGAGAAAAAAATCATCTATCTTCTTCTGTTTTCTTTAGAGTGTAGAGAATGAAAGAACCTCTGCATTCTTGAGGAAATAGAAATAGAAATTATACTTTTTTAAAAAAAGTGTGTATGTGTGTGTTATCTTAGTGTACTACCATGAAAAATAATGGGTTTAAAGATTCTAAGGAAATGATCATGATATTTTCATAAAGTTAAAAGCAGAATACTGGCCAGGTGCAGTGGCTCATGCCTATAATCCCAACACTTTGAGAGGCCCAGGTGGGTGGATCACTTGAGGTCAGGAGTTCAAGACCAGCCTGGCCAATGTGGTGAAACCCTGTTTCTACAAAAAATACAAAACTTAGCTGGGCATGGTAGTGCATTCCTATAATCCCAGCTACTTGGGAGGCTGAGGCAGGAAAATTGCTTGAACCTGGGAGGTGAAGGTTATAGTGAGCTGAGATCACACCACTGCACTCCAGCCTAGGAGATACAGTGAGTAAGACTCTGTCTTAAAAAAAAAAAAAAAAAAAAAAAGAAGAGCAGACTATCAAATTATAAGCATACTGTGTCTTCAGCTACATTCAATGCCTATAAAGCATTTAAAAAATAGAGCAAAATGAACATGGTGGTTGCATTCAGTCATAAACATAGGGTATATGTTTTTAAAAACTTTTATTGGGAAATATCCTTATTTAATATTACTAGTAATCTAAGGAGTGCAAATTAAGCCAAGATACCACTTTCATCTAAAAATTGGTTAATATTTTGCAAAAAAAGTGACAAACATTGAAAAGGCAATAGAAAGGAGAACTCTTGTACAGAGCAGATAGGTGCATTAACTTCTTCTTTGGCAATCTAGGAGGCTGCATTTAATGCTTTAATATTTTGCCCACATTTTGGCCCAGAAATTCTATTTCTAGGAATGTATTCTAAGGAAATAATCATGGCATGAAGATTAGCTTATGTAGATTGGGTTACTGCAGCACTGCATCTGAGAGCTGAAGCTGGAAGGAAAGAAGAGAAATTGGTTAAGTGGGAGGAGGTGGAAAGCAAAGGCACTGTGAGCCTGTTCTCAAGCCAGGAAGCCTGGTAGGTTTGGGAGCTGCAGAAATGTTGGAAGCACTTGGGGGAGGGTGGTTGCAGGAGAGGAGCCTGTTGGGTTTACGGACATTCTCACACTTCCCGCTTTACAACAGGAGGCACGTTTGTCTCTCCCACTCTACAGGATACTCGAGAACAGTGTCATCCTTATCTGTATTTTCATTAGCATTGAGTCTAGTGTCTAGCCTGGGTATTAAATAAATGCTTGATAAAGGAATGAAAGATTCCAATTAAATCTGATGCCAAAAAAAATATGGAATTGTAAAGAGCTAGTCATAAAGAGTAAATTGCTTAATGAAATTTTTACTTCCATAAAGCCAGTTCTACTATTTGTAGGAAGCTAGAATGTTACATAGGGAGCCACTCTTTCTCAGCTCTGACTACTGACGAAACTATGTTCTCCTAAAAGAAACCCAGACCTGTTTCTAAGCATGGACTGTGGTGGCTGTAAAAGCATCTGTGGAGTGTGGTTGGGTTCATCCGCTGACATATGTTCGTACACTTCTGTTCCCTTGGGAAATAATCCTCCGCTGGAGCATCTTCTTCTGTGAATATTATAGAGCCTGCTTATTTTGGCTGTTCCCAAGACTTCGATCACTGTTGTTAGAAGAATTTTGATCAAAATTGAAATTGCCTTGGTGTTTGCACTGTAGACTTCACCTTCTCTCTACTTTGGGCTGAGCTCATGACTGAAGGCAGTGTGTCCTATGAGCCACTGACATCAGAATCACCCAGGGGGCTTGTTAAAAATGCAGTTTCAGGCCAAGTGCAGTGGCTAACCCCTGTAATCCCAGCACTTTGGAGGCTGAGGTGGGCAGATCATGAGGTCAGGAGATTGAGACCATTCTGGCCAACATGGTGAAACCCCGTCTCTACTGAAAGTACAAAAAATTAGCTGAGCATGGTGGCCCGCATCTGTAGTACCAACGACTCGGGAAGTTGAGGTAGGGGAATTGCTTTCACCCAGGAGGTGAAGGTTGCAGTGAGCCGAGATCATGCACTCCAGCCTGGCAACATAGTGAGACTCCATCTCAAAAAAAAAGAAAAAAAAAAATGCAGGTTTAAGCATGTTCTCACCTACCAATTCCTACTTCTATCCCATCCCATGTCTTCAGAGAGTATGAAAAGTATGGTCTAAGAGACATCAACTTCATTTTCTAAGTTCATTTGGGTCATTTGTATTGATCCATTTATTCATCTATAAGCATTTCTTTTTTTTTTTTGAACAAAAATTATTTTTTTTCTTCATACCATAGATTCTAGATGCCCTGAATCTATGTCCCTAAGCATGTCTTAATTGTCACTAGCACTAGGTATACAACACCAAAAGATCCAGTCTTCTTCTTCAACGATTTACAGGCTGTGGGCATGACAGGTATATAAACAGATAATTAGAGTATAATGTGGTACCTCTTATAATAGAGGTAAGAACAAAGTGCAGCAGGAGATGAGGGAAAGGTAGGGCCCTTTGTGTATAGTTCTGTGGTTATGTGGTAAGAAAATGCCACAGAATGTTGCCAAGTCCCTTTTGAAAACAGCAACTCAATTACAGATACAGTGACCATATATGTCAGTTTGCCTAGCAAAGCCCCAGTTTATGTCTGTTGTTCATGATCTCATCTGATGTGGCATGGATCCCACACAAGGTACATGTAATTTCATCCTTCCAGCATCCAGCCATAATCTTAGCTAGTAGTGTGTGATATGTTCATGTGCAGTGAATGGACTGCTTACTTTTACATATAATTATGTACGAAAGTCAACCAGAGACCCTTCCAGTCAAAACATAATAAAACATATCCCTGTAACCCATGCCAGCTGTTAAGCATTCCAGCCAGTTAGGCAATAGTTTCTTTCTGTGTTAGCCTGTAGGATGTGTGAAACTTCCAGGCTGCAAACCAACGGGGTCACTGAGAAACGTGGGAAAATATGGGTTAGGTTATGGGTACATGATGCATGTGTGGGAACTAGATGCTGAGCAGTGCTACTCAGAGTAGTTTGAACTCTCTTGCAACAGTGATTTCGTTACTTTATTTTATTTTTATTTATTTTATTTATTTTTTGAGACGAAGTTTCGCTCTTTCACCCAGGCTGGAGTGAAGTGGCATGATCTTGGCTCACTCCAACCTCCACCCCCTGGGTGGAAGAGCTGGGATTATAGGCGCCTGCCACCACGTCCAGCTAATTTTTGTCTTTTTAGCAGAGACAGGGTTTCGTCATGTTGGCCAGGCTGGTCTCAAACTCCTGACCTCAGGTGATCCACATGCCTCAACCTCCTAAAGTGCTAGGATTACAGGTGTAAGCCACTACACCCGGCCTTGTTACTTATGATATGATGTGACTATATAACTATTGCATTGTTTGTTATCAGTTTCTTATTTGCTTAATAATTCATTTTAGCTGTGAAGAGCGAAAAAATGGAAAACATGTATTTCATGTACAGTTCAGTACGGTTTTTTTAAGATGATTGAATGTGATACTTTTGCAATGTTGATTGATATTTACCACCCTCATGGGTACCATGGTCTCAAATGACCATGTGAAAATCAAAAGATATACATCTGCTGAAGAACATCAGAATCTACTTCAAAAATTGATAGTTTTTAAAGATTGTGTCCAAAGACAACAATCTACAGAAGGTCCACTTATATATCATTGTGTGGCATGACTTCTCATTTAGATCAAATGAATTTCCTTCTGGTTTCACTTTTTTATTACATTTTATTTTTGTTTTGTTTGTTTGTTTAGAGATGGGGTGTTGCTATGTTGCCCTGGACTGGACTGGAACTCCTGGGCTTAAGTGACCCTCCTCCTCAGCCTCCCTCTCGAGAGCTGAGATTACAGGTGTGCACAGCTGTGCCTACCTACAAGTTGTTGTTGTTGTTTTTTGTAATCAAAGAGCAGCTTTTAATGTGTTGGCTGAGTGCAAAAATAATTTGTAAATAGTTAAATGAGGTGAATTTTATATGAATGTATTCAGATACTTCAAATAGAAAAATCAAAAAAGCTAATTATAATAATGATCTTATTTTTGTGGATTTGATTCCTCATGAAATCAGATCAAACCTTTTAGAAGTTCAATCTTTGAAGATGAACACTCTGACATTATTATAAATATTACTGTAAGTTCAGTTACAAAATTCAACAATTGGCCAGGTGTGGTGGCTCACACCTGTAATCCCCGCACTTTGGGAGGCCAAGAAGAGTGTATCACTTGAGCCCAAGAGTTTAATGCCAGGCTGGGCAACACGGTGAAACCCCATCCCTACAAAAAACAAAAAAGTTAGCTTGGTGTAGTGGTGCACACCTGTAGTCCCAACTACTCAGAAGGTACAGGTGGGAGGGTAGCTTGAGCCAGGTAGGTGGAGGTTGCAGTGAACCAAGATTGTGCCACTGCACTCTAGCCTGGACGACAGAGAGACACTCTGCTCAAAAAAAACAAAAAACAATAATCAAAAGCCCCCCAAAACAAAATCCAACAATCAGGTTCAAACTGTTTGGTTCTGTAGTGATAACATAACTGCAAATTTGGTGGAGCACAACAAATGCTCTTAGAAAATTGAGAAATGGACAGAGAAGAAATGTACTTAAAATTAGTCATAGTACATACATAATTCACAATTGTATCCAAATAAGCTACAATATTTTGTTAATCAAAAGAAGAGCTGTAGTTGTACAAATGTAAGTATTCTTATATATTCACAGTTAGAAAAACTGAACTTCCCATTGCAAAATTTTTAGAATGACACGTTAAATTAAACGAATACTTCAGTGTGGCAGTATATATGTTCTCCCTTTGTTGGACATTCTCCACCTGTCAGAATTTTAGAAGGGTTTGAGCCTTTAAATAACTTTTTTCTATATCAAACCCTGTGTCCTACCAT